ATGCATTTTTATTTCAATATACAGTAGTACTTTATTTGCATGCGGAAATCAGATGTTATGTAATTTATGTTCTTTGAATTGCACATCTCACATGATCTCTCCTGTTAGCCTCACTATATCTGATGCATTTCGGGCAACATGTTCGGTTTGTTGAATGCGATCGAAAGGAACTAAAGTCATTATCTACGCTGTGAAAAATCTCCGCAAGATGCTATTCGGCAGATAGTTTACGTTACTAACAGACTGTAAACCGATACTGACAGTTTTGGGGCCCAAAAAGTGTCCCTGTTTATGTGGAAAACCATCTACAACGATGAGTAACCACATTACTGGACGGAGATTTCAAGATAAATTGTCAACCAACGACTGACTTCGGACAGGCAGATGCCCACTCAAGATTAACTGGTTTCCAGACAAAACAAGAAGAGCTGTTTGTAGCTGCCGTAGAAACTGTGACCAAAGCTCGCAGTGTTAACAGACTAAAGTTCAGGACAGCCAGTCACATACGAGACCATTAAAGAAACTAGCGAAAAGGACGATACGTTGAAGAGCGTTCGTATACTCAGTAAGTGGTTTTCACCTCAACTCCATGGAGAGATTGTACAATACTTTTGTCGGAGAGACTCCTTGACAAATGTAGTTCCGTGCATCATGTTTGGCCATCAGGTCGTTATCACCAGAATTTCTGGGCATCAGTACCAAAAACATTTACATACCGGGCACCCAGTAGTAAGTAAAATGAAGCCACTGGCTCGGGGCTACACATAATGACCGTCAATGAACTGTGAAATAGAACAAGTGTCGCAGCAGTTGGTCCTGTCTAGAATCTGCAAAGAATCCAACTGAAGCAGGACCCCAAACAAGACCGAATTTAGACAGGCTTTGACAAAGAATACATGCTTATTTCGCTGGTCCAATACAAGACAGAAACTAATTGGTTGTTTTAGATACCTTCACGAAGTGGCTGGAAGTGTGCGAACATGACGACGAAGGATACAACAAGAAAATTGTCAAGATTGTTTTCGGGCGCCGGAGATCTTAGTTCATGTGATCCGCCTTTAAACGGTTGTGCTATGAAAATGGCATTACGCATCTACGATCTTCTGCGTACCATCATCAGTCGAATGAACAAGAAAGGTTCGTGGACACAACGAAAAGGGATCAAATTAGAGGAGGAGGTCCAGCATATGTGACCAGTAACTTCTCAATATCTTACAGAGTTACATCCCACCAGGCAGTGATCAAGGGAAAGTCCCCAGATGAGTGTATGTTTGGAAGCGAAGGTCGGACAGTCTTTAACAGTATGTTGCCACCCAGAAAGACAAATAAACCTACTAACGAGCATTGTACGGTCACTTTCAGCTTCCAGGTACGGTAAAGGGATACCTATCAAGTTAACATAGAATGGGAACCAGATATTGAACGTCGGATGGAAAATTATTGTTAGTTTGGAGAACTGTCAGGAAATTTAAAATACGTCAATAAAATCCAAAGGGATGGTAGAAAAACGATTACACGAGGCGGATTCTTGTTTCAAATCCCCGTGAATCCTCCGTATCCACCAACTCGGTTAACTCGCCGGCCATTCGCTTTTCGTTCTCTTAATTTCGTAAACACCCCCGCCGCGAGGTCGTGACTGTTAACGCGTAGCCATGTGAGGATGTTTCGAGAGCTGAATTTCTCCACTCATGCCGTATTCGGGAATTTGTAGGCAAGTGAGGAAGAATATTAGAGCTGACAAGCAGAAATATGTGGGGTACAGAGGAAAAGGCGTGAAGAGAAAATATTAGAGAACTACATAACACGACGAAGAAACTAGCAGGGAAGTATAGGTAACCAGATAGACTGATCGAGAGTAAGGAAGGCTAGTCACACGCTGAGATTCAACAACAGAGAAACTCTTGGGTAGGACTTTTTGGAGAACTCTTGGATATATCAGCCCAGTGAGCGTACCAGATATCGATGCAACATACACAGAGACCTTCCTACAGCTGGAAACGTTCACGTACCTGGACAGCATACTCGACGAACATGGAGGATCAGATGCGGATGTAAAGGGGGAGGATTTACAAAGCGATGGCAACATTCCTACAATATACCCAAACTAGGGAATGTTTCAGGACTATATCAGGATTAGGACTAACCATTCCTTTCACCATTATACGAATAGCACCATACCGTAAATCATTCCAACCGATATTGTATTTCCTTCTTTCATTTAGATTCTAAAACTAAAATTTCTAAGCTAGTTACAGCAGTACGAAATTGAGGGAGGATAAATGGCATGAAGCTATAACAGCAGAGATTGAGTCAGGAAAAAGGTGTGCGGTCACAACGCAAATATGGGAAACAACTAATCAAATTCCATATGGAAATCACTTATGTACGAACTCTAATAATTTCCTTTCTATTGTACGGCCAATTAATATTTATTGGATTGGTCTTGAATGTCCTTACTTTGCGTCGTGAAGGCAGTTACGAAAGTCCAAGTATTAGTGGTGAAACCACAGACTCAACAAGTATACTGAAAGCGACGACCTCCAGACAAGACAATGGGTCAGTTGTCACTCATCGTCGTACTGACGACTAAGTTGAAAGACAACTCTAGCTGAATATCGTAATTCATACCAATAGATATTTTTCCATGAAAAATCCCATATATTTAAGAATCAATAACACAAATATTATAATTTTGGAGATTCTTAACTGAAAACTTTTTAAGGTTACTACCGGACTCTAGATTGGATAAAGGATGAGCAACCATACGTCGTACTAAATAAATTCACTAAAAATCGCTAACCATAGTGGAATGATCAAACCATTTCAACTCTCCCCAGAGAGTTGAAGGGTCTTCACATGGGACAGTTATGACCCCTAGTAATAAAAGCTGAGATACCCAATAACCCATGAGGTCGACACCCTTTAGAACAATCAGAACAACAATAAACATAAAGATTTGGAGTGCTCAGACAATGTGAGACTGGTAAAATCACTGGAATGTCGACAGAAATAGGATGATACAACATGTTTGTGATAGAAATAAGTAAAATTCACTACTTGGAGTAACAGGAGGACTGTTATTATCTTCCGATCACGAAGAAAATCCCCCCTCCCACACACAAGGAGTTGCACTGGTGCTGTACAAACAAGAATGGGAAGTGATTATTGGATTAACACCCTACAACTTCATACTACAAAACGATTACGAGTGTCATACAGTACATCGCACTCACTAATGTTGGTAACGAAAATGATAAAGATCAGTTTCATGAAGCTTTAGTCCATACTAGAGAAACACAATGAAGCACTAGACCATCGCAATAGGAGACACAGGGTGGAGGAAAGAAATGACCGTGGTGAAACTGGTAGGTCTATGTGCTTCCAACAAGACTGTGACGGACAGTGGCACTTTTCTCACAAAGCTATATGGGTTTTACCAAATCACACAACAGAAAAATAGGATAAGCAATTAACGGAATGGAACTCATTACCATACACGGATTATTTTAGGTATGAAAGAAGTAGTTGATAACGTGGAAAGGAGAAGCTGGTAAAATTTCCGGCACAACGGAGTACCTCAGAGAAATTTCGTTATCATACAGAGCTCTTATGGATACTGAATAGCAAAAGTGTTGCAACAGTGCACCTCACGTTTAAATGAAGATTGGTGTCAGACAATACTGCCTAATCTTACCTCCTCATTCTTTTAGTCGTTGGTTGGGCCATGAAGACATCCACGTCTCAGAGGAAGTACGGAATACCGTGGACACCCTGGACGATTCGAACTTCAAAGGCACAAATGCAGACAGAAATAGCCAGTGTAGCAGTGCTCTTTGGAAAAACAGGCATTAAGATTAACACGAGCAGAAATAGGATCCTGAAGTAAAACACAGTGAACATCAACCGAATTTCACTTGACAGAGAGGCTCTGGAAGAGGTAAAAGCCTTTACTCACTTGGACAGTATCCTAAATAAAAAAGGAAGACATAAGGTGGATATGAAGGCACAAATTGGTAAAGCAAGAGTGATATTCCTACAGTATAAAAATATCTGGAACTCAACAAAACTCAGAATTCGCAACACAAGCGTCAAGAGTTCTGTTACACGAGATTGAAACGTGGAGAAATACCGCAATTTCCTTCAAAAATGTACAGGTATTTATAAACAGTTGTCTACGCAAGATACTTCAGAGATAATGGCCGGAGACCGTTAGTAATAACCAACTGTAGCAGAGAGCAGGAAATTAAGAAAAAACAATGGAAGTGTATGCACATTGCGAAAATCACCAAGCTGCATCACAAAGGACAATAAAACTTAGAGTCCCCCAAGTCAAAAACAAGAGAAACAGAACAAAGAGAATATGGCGTCGAGATTCGGAGCCTGAACTCGAAGTCATGATTATCACATGGTGACAACTGGAAGGAACAGCCCAGGACGCAGTCAATTGGAAAACTGGTAGGCAGCCTATGTCTCTGTGAAGTTGCAGGATAAGCAAAAGCAGAAATTTTTAGAAGTTTTTCATACAATGATCATTAATAAGCAAACATCTCCAACTTCATCTCTTATTTGTTCAACTACAAGAAATTTTTATCTCATTTTTGGCCGACAGAAGTGTTCGAGTTAAAAGAGGAAAAGTATACATCTACATAAAAGTCCATGAGAATAATGAAAAAGGAGAAAAAAGGCAGACATAAATTAAGAATAGAGTAAGATAGATGATATAACGACAAGTCGATCAACTGGATAGCAGAAAATATAACACTATGATGACAGTCATATTAAAGATATAGAGAATGTGGAGAAGACAATGTGAAAATAACTGGCTTTGAAGGAAGAACAAGTCGAGGATAGATTCAATGCGAAAAATTCAACCCTAATTAGACTAATTAACAGTTTTGTCTGGTAAAAATAGACTAAAAATATACAACGCTGAAAAGTTTATTGACAAAACTTGGATTGAGCTCCAGGGATAAATCTCACGGTACATTATGATTAGGATTTTATGAGTGCTTTTGATAAAGTAGAAATCTGCAAATTTGTTCATACACAGTAAATCGACACGAGATAGAAACAAAAGACTTGAGTAAAGTGGGTCTTAATCCTTTAAAAAATGCTGAAGCTCCTTCCATTTGCCATATTTCAAGTAAGCATCTACAAAGACCATCATTTCTTATAGGAATTCGACCGAATTGAGCACGCGCTTCTTCAAAACCCTAGGGACAATTAAAATAAACAAATGGTACTGTAAACTTAAAATAACAGTTTGGTAGCCATATAAAAAACAACCAACAAATTAAATAACTTACATATGCCTTTAATTCCATCTGTAGCTCTTCTAGAGTTACTCCCGATCCCAAGCCCGGATAAAAAAGGAGGGTTGGGCATGGGGTTAGCGACCACATCCCGTTGAAAACTAACTCGGTAAAAAATCTCTAGCCAGAAAAAATAATTAAAACCATTTAAACTCTGACCCGTGAGTTAGGTCTTCATTTAGAAGAACTATGATGCCTCATGGTGAAAGCCGAGTTCCTTCAGAATTCACGAGGCCGATGCTCCTTCTAAAAACTAGAGCAACAATTTTCATAAGTAAATGGAACGTCCGTACAATGTGGGAGACCAGGAAGACCAGTCAAATAGCAACGGAAATCAGGAGATACAATGTGGCAGTACTGGAATCGGCGAAACCCATTGGACCCAAGCTGGACAACAAAGGCTAAATACAGAAGAGATGCTGCTGTACTCCGGTCACTAAGAGGAAATTGCTCCACACACTCAGGGAGTTGCCCTAATGATTCAGATCACTACCTAGTTGTAGCCTATTTACAAATGTAGCTAAGGAAGAACTGAACAACTGGACAAACAACACTACAAAGGTTCAATTCAACTTTCCTTCGAGATACTAACAAATTCAACGAATTCATGATAGCAGTCAGTCAGCTACAACGTAGGACCAGGCACATATGTGCATCGGTCCAAGTTGCCATACCTCATTAACACAACAAGATGAACACGAAATTCATAGAAGTAGTTACTTTAACGGTAGTAATATATAAAAGAAAGATTGCAATAAGGATATAGTACAGGAAGAAAGAATTAGTTCGTAGAAAGAAAGATATGAAGCAATTTTAATCTCTTAGTTTAAGGGAAGACAGAGAGTGTATACACACATACGCCATTGTGATCGATTCTGAGCGATGTCACCCAGAGTCTCCAACCATTGGTTACGAGTCACGCAGACCCAACCAAGTAGTCTGCATCTACCAACATGGCTCAGATTACAAGTTAGTGACTTCAAACACTGATGCCACGTTTTGGTTTGGCCGCCCTTAATTTTCTTCCAACCATCCCGAACGCCGGTTAGCATTGCACGTCGTGGTAATCGGTGTTCAGGCATACGTAACACGTGACCCAACCATCTCAGTCGATGAAGATTCACAACCTTATCGACTGATTTACCATCCTTTTCTAATACCCTGCGTCTAACCTCACTATTACTTACCCGGTGATCCCAGCAGATGCGAGCAATATTTCCAAGGCATCTGTGACCAAGTACTAGTAACTTACGAATATCTTCTACTCTTAATGGCCATGTTTCGCTGCCGTACATTAAAACAGAACGGACTGCCGTGCAGTATACTCGTCCTTTTATTGATAGACGGATATCTCGCCTTCGCCATAGGTGACGTAAGTTGGCAAAAGCCAAGCGAGCTTTTCGAATCCGTACTGAGATTTTGTCAGACACCAACCCATTAGGGCTGATCAGACTCCCAAGATAAGTGAAGTTGTCAACGCGTTCGACTACTTCACGCCCTATCCTTAGTTCAGGTGTTAACGCAGACCAGTCCTGAAGCAACAACTTGCATCTAGAGGGAGAGAAGCGCATCCCAAACATTCTGGCATTGTTGCTCAGTGCTACCAAAAGACTCTGCATTTTGTCAGCGTCTTCACCAAACAGGACTATGTCATCTGCTTATTCTAAGTCGATAAGTGCACCCGCTGGAAGGAGATCAATACCCGAGAACTCAGTCGACGAGAAAGTTATTTCCATCAGTAGATCTATGATGAAGTTCAACAAAAATGGGGAAAGTGGACAGCCTTGACGGACACCACGTGAGGTTGCAAAAGTTGATGACAGTTCGCCATAACCTCTGACTCGACTAGTAGTGTTCGAGTAAAGAGCCTTCACAAGGTTTATGTACTTCTGAGGTACGCCTTTCAATGACAGACACTGCCACAGAATCTCGTGGTCTACGGAGTCAAATGCTGCTTTTAAGTCTAGAAATACCACCATTGTCGGACACCGGTAAGTATGCCTATGTTCTAGAACCTGACGAATGGTGAATATGTGGTCGATGCAGCCACTTACACTTGACTTATTAGTTCCAGTTTCTTTTATTAGTCTGTAAAACTGTCTTGTATTCCCTATAGCCGCTGCCTTTTCCATCTCTTTTGCTTTCGTTGCCCACCACTGCTCACGGTCGTTCCTTAGACTTTTGCTTAACCTAGATCTGATTTGTTGTCGCTCTTCATCGTGTTCAGAGCCTGATGGGATGAGTTTACGAGAATCCATCAGTGCAATAGACCTAGAGGAAATCCATTGGTTCTTTGTAACCCTGTGGTTGAAATCACTGATAGATGTCACTGCTGTTTCCACAACTGTTGGTATAGCTTTCCAAGCAACATCTAGGCCAACCTCGTTTTCAGAACTACCTAATTGTGACCTCAGTTGTTCCTGGAACCTACTTTTGGTTTTCTCGCTACTCGATTCAGATCTAATGGGTCTTTTTACTGTGGCTTTTTTGCGTCCAGTGAGGCGCAAGCAGATGTGTGCCCGTATTAGGGCATGGTCGGAGTCCAAGCAGGTACTCCAGAATGAGCGACAATCTTCTACAGACCCTCTCCAACGATGACTGATGGCAATATGGTCTATTTGAGTCCATCGTTGGTTTGGTGTAGGGGGTCACCATGTTAGACGATGTCTCTCCTTATGCTTAAAATTTGTGTTTGCTAAAAATAAATGATTGTCTGAGCACAGTTGCAGCAGACGATCACCATTATCTGTTCGCTGTGCCGGAATACTAAAATACCCACCTAAATGCCTTTCTGTTTGGTTTAACGACGTGTGTCCCTATCCTTCCAAGTTCTTACGGAGCCTTTTAGCCCAACAGCACATAAACGACTGTTAACGGGGATCCACTCTAACAGTGCTTGTTCCGCCCTCATGCTTAGTGCTATCCCTACTCCTGCCAGTCCACGAGGGCTGGCCATCGCGTCACCAGATACACGGAGGGTGTATCTCGTTAGCTCTCCGTTTTGCCGAGGTGAGGTCAAGTGAACGAGCACACTGGGATCCTGTATGCGTGTTTCAGAGACACAGCATACATCAATGGTACGAGATTCTAGGGTTCTAGCCAAGGAAGCCTGTTGACCGATTTGACATACGGTGCGTACGTTGAAGGCTCCAATGTGTAGTTTGGGGCGAGGTTTCAGTAGACCTGGGACAGTGTTTTGAGCACTAGAATCGTTGGCTATGGTGACACTTGAGGGGGAAGCCGAAAAAGGAAGTTTAGAGGTGAAAGTCGATGTAGGAGGAATAATAGGAAGTGAAGACGGAGGTTGATTATGAATACAATGGTCTTGAGTACTGTTAGAGGTATGAGGACGGTTATCACTTCCCGATTGCCCACACCGTGGAAGGGTTGTTCTGGAGGTACTTGAAAAGGAAATTGGATTAGAGGTGGTCTTAGTGACCTGGGAGCGTAGCCGCAGTGCCCAAGGGACAACTGCTTGAGGTCGGTCGCGCACGGCCTTTTCGTGGAAGGTTTTTGACGTGTTAGCTCCGTTCTTCAAAGGGCCTTACCGCCGGAGACGGATATCCGTGGGATAAGGCGAGGTGTGCATTTTTAGGGTCGACCTTTTCTAACCCCACCCTCTTTGTGGGAAGGCAGCATCGCTGTCATGCTGGTTGTCTGAAGGAAACACCTTAATGCCGTCACACCTCTGTACAGTCAGCAGTACGACTTCGCCTTCGGACCTTGGGTTTGTTGCTTTTAGTCTTACCGCTCTTCAACCGACCTGTCTGACATGGTAGGACCTTGAGGAACGGTTGTTCCAGCCAGTATAGCTCGGTTGCTTCATCACGATAGGAAGCCCGACCACCACGTCAAGGTATCAACAACGGTCGGGATTCATGATAGCTCTCAACAGCAGGTTCCATGGCTTACAAGATCTACCGAAGGAACAAAGAACTACTATGGTGGACAACTGGAAAAGTATCAAAGAAACATTAACTTACTTTCTCGTCGGGCTAGTCACATGTTATTGATCTGAATTGTATTGAAGTCTTGTAAAACAGACACTAGAAGGCTATCTAGTGTAGATATTCGTCTAAGGTAAATTAACGTTCCATTCGAGTAGACAGAGAAACGGAGCGTTATAAGAGTTCAGAAATTATTCTGGTGAATCGGACAACCTGGAAGAGGTTGGAGTATGAAGTGCTTACAGAGGTGTGTAAATAGTTCAACCTTCGACATCTAAACGGATATATTTTCTTATGGTATAAAGTGGACATTCAGTGCAGTAGAATAAAACATGATAATGGAAATATTGCACGCCAAGAAAACTAAATAGATGAATTTATTAAACCTTCGTTTGTAAGCGACAGCGTGATAAATTATTAAAAAGCTATCATGAATAACCAAACAAACCTTTACTTATAATGATTAGAGCAATGTAAATAATACGACTTTTCGTTACGAAAATAATTGCCTCATGAAGAATATTTGATATAATCAAGTGCACATTGAACCTAAATGTAAGCTTCGCATTACCGTTACACCAAATTATAACTTTTCAAATGAGCTTTATTTATTTTCGCTCTATAAATAACCTAGATACATTTGATGGATGAAACTATATGAATACAACTTTACGAAGTGAGATTGGACCAATTCAACAACAACAATAATATTTGGAAATATTGGTACCAAAAATTAAACACAAAACCTTACCCGAACTTGCATACGTTTTTTCACCATATCAAGTGGATATATTACACATTTGGATCCAATCCCTGCAAGTCCACCAGAGATCAAACTTTGAACAGGACCTTAGAGTTGGGAGACATAAGGTTTGTAAAACATTTAACTAAGCTGATGATGACAGAAGAACAAGAATGAGATCGCTATAAAAATATAATGAAGTGACTCAGTAGTAGAAAAGCTATAGGAGTACTTTTTTTAAAACTTATCTGAGTTAAAATAAACTAGAACGAAGGGAATTTTCAACCTAATTAATCAGAATATAAGTGAGTTAAAATGTGTACATACACTAATTACAGACTACTAGAAACAGCACTATCTGTTTGCTGAATTGTCAGCCTGGAAATACGGGATGTTAAATACAATGAAATTCTGGTTGTAAACCTTCATTGTACATAGAAACGAACAGAGTACCTAACATCGATGTTATAGTCTCTTTTTAAATTTCTAGTCGTTAATAGGAGAGATCTGGTTAAAATGAAAGATGAAATTCCACAGAAGACGCAGTGATTACGTTCGTACGATAAAGCAGGAGAAATGTGAGGGCGAAGATAAGAATGTCACGAGCCAAAATGAATGAATACAGCAGTATACACGACTACCAATGAAATGTAAATTCATTTAAAAATTAACATGTTATTAATTTTCAAAATTTCTGCAGACTTCTAGGTTGCAATTAAGAACATGTACTGATCTGGCCCATAAATGGTGGAAGTACGACAATTGTATCTGATCAGTGTATTCCTTTATATATTCAGTTTAGTGTTGTTTCTCACTTCTCACCCCCCCCCGTATCTGATTTACTTATTTATTTGAAGACATAAATATTGGTACAAGAGGGCACAAAAATATATCTGTGCCACACAAAATAATGAGAATTCGAAGAGAAGGAAAAAAAGGCAAGGAGCGTAAAAAAGAAAAATAATGAACAGATTAGTGCAAGGTAGTGTAATAATAATAATAATCCCGACCGAAGCTGCTACCTTGACGCGGTGGTCGGGCTTGCCTATCGTGATGACCCAACCGAGCTATATTGGCTGGAACATATGTTCCTGCAGGTTCTACCATGCCAGGCAGGTCGATTGGAGAACGGTAAGACTAAAAGCTGCAACTCAAGGTCCGAAGGCGAAGTCGTACTGCTGACTGTAGAGGGGTGTGACAGCAGTAAGGTGTTTACCTCAGACAACCAGCATCTGTAACGATGCTGCCTTCCCACAAGAAAGGAAGGGGTTAGAAAAGGTCGACCCTAAAAATGTCACACCTCACCTTACCTCACGGATTTCCGTCTCCGGCGGTAAGGCCCCTTGAAGAACGGAGCTAACACGTCAAAAACCTTCCACGAAAAGGCCGTGCGCGACCGGCCTCAAGCAGTTGTCCCTTAGGCTCTGCGGTCACGCTCCCAGGTCGTGAAGACCAACACTAATCCAATTTCCTTTCCAGGTTCCTCGAGAAATACCCTTTCACGGTGTGGGCAGCCGGGAAGTGACATCAGCCCTCATACCCGTAACAGCACACGAGACCAAGTTGGTCACATTCAAATCCTTCCTACACCTCCTAATACCTCTCTTATCTCCATGACTAACCCTCCTCACGTCTCTTTATCACCTATCACCGCTAGGGCAAACGATTCGAGTACGTGGAACGTTATTCCTGGTCTCCTGAAACCACGCTCTAAACTACGCGTAGGGGCTTTTAACGTCCAAACACTATGCCAAATAGGACAACAGGCTTCCTTAGCTAGGACTTTAGAATCCCGCGCCATCGATGTGTGCTGCGTCTCCGAAACGCGCATACAGGATCCGAGTAGTGTCATGCATTTGACATCACCATGTCAAAACAAAGAACCAACTCGATTCGCACTTCGTGTATCTGGAAGTCCGGATTCTGCTTCCTGTGGCCTCGCCGGCGTAGGTATAGTATTGAGTCCTAGGGCAGAACTAGCTCCCTTAGAGTGGATCCCAGTTGACAGTCGTTTGTGCGCTGTCCGACTGAACGGAACAGTAAGGATCCGAAAAGATAGGGACACTCGTCGTTGCCTCTTCGTCGTCTCTGCCTATTCTCCCACTGACTGCAGCTCAGATGATGTCAAATATGAGTTTCACAGGAAACTCTCCGACCTTCTCCTAAAAGCTAGGCGCTCGGATGTAGTAATAGTGGCCAGTGACTTTAATGCTCAATTAGGTAAACTAAGCGATAGGGAAAGACACCTGGGTGGATCTTATGGTGTCGTGGCTCAAAGAACAGATAATGGCGACCGTCTGTTGCAGCTATGCTCAGATAACCGCCTCTTTCTTGCAAAAACAAACTTTAAGCATGAGGAAAAACATGTTTTGACACGGCAACCCCCCAATTCATGCCAACGTTTGACCGAACTAAATCACATCGCTATCAGCCACCGATGGAGGGGCTCGATAGAAGACTGTCGCTCATTCTGGAGCACATGCCTAGATTCAGATCATGCTCTAGTGCGAGCGCGTATTTGCTTGCGTCTTACTGGACGTAGGAAAGACACTGCAAGGAAACCTCTTAGGGGCCTACTTAATGATAGTCAAGCTAAGAGTATATTTCAGGAACAACTAGGAAAACAGTTGGGCAGCCATGTATGTGATGCCCACCCTGAGGCAGCATGGAATGATATCCGAAAAGCTGTGGAAACAGCAGTGATATCTGCTAGTAAGGTAAACCAGAAGGTTAGGGAGCAACACTGGATCTCAGCAGCATCTATCTCACTGATAGATGCTCGGAAACTCATTCCACCTGGCTCTGAACATAGTGAAGAGCGGAGTCAGCTTAAGCGCAAGCTGACAAGAAGTCTACGGAATGATCGTGAACAGTGGTGAGTAGCGAAAGCAAGAGAGATGGAAAAGGCAGCGGCAATAAGTAATAGCAGACAATTGTTCAGACTTGTTAGGTAAACCGGTATTAGGAACCCGACTGTTAGCGAAACACTCTCAGAGAAAGATGGACATATTATACATTCTCAATCCAGGGGATCAGATCGATGGGCAGAACACTTTAGGGATCAGTTTAACTGGCCTTCAGCCACACTTCGGTTTCCCACGATCTCTAGTCAACCTGAATGGCAATTTAGTGCAGGTCTTCCGTCTCTTTGCGAAGTTGAAAAAGCCATGAGAAATCTGAAGAGACGGAAAGCAGCAGGCCTTGAAAGCTTTACCCCTGAGATTTTTAAGGATGGTGGTCCAGTATTAGCAGTGAGATTAACTGAGGTCTTAGGTAGAATTTGGGAACTGGACGTAATCCCATCTGACTGGTCTCAATCACTGATTGTGCCAGTCTATAAGAAAGAACAAAAGTCCTTTTGTGACAATCACAGAGGAATCAGTTTGACAAATATAGTGTCTAAACCATTAGCCTCAATAATACTTCGACGCCTAACTAAAGCTCGTGAAGAACAAACCAGAGAAAACCAGACTGGTTTCCGACCTGGACTTGCGTATATAGACCAGATATTCACACTACGTCAGGTTATAGAACACAGACACACATTCAGACACCCCACAGTCGTAGTATTTCTCGACCTTAAGGCGGCATTCGACTCTGTTGATCATGAGGTTCTATGGCAGTGTTTGTCACTGAAAGGAGTACATTAACCTTATAAAAGCTCTCTCTACTCGAACACAACTGATAGAGTGAGAGCTTATGGCGAACTGCCATCAGAATTGATTACCTTAAGTGGTGTTCGTCAGTGTTGTCCACTCTCTCCATTCTTGTTCAACTTCGCCATCGACATGCTTTTAGAGATGAAACTTTCCTCATCTAGATTTCCAGGGGTTGAACTTTTACCGAGAGGTTCACTTGTTGACTTAGAATATGCCGATGACATAGTTCTATTTGGTGAAGATGCTGACAAAATACAGAGTCTTCTGACCACTATAAGCAACAATACAAGCATGTTCGGGATGTGATTCTCCCTCTCGAAATGCAAAATGTTGCTTCAGGATTGGGTTGCATTGACACCCGAACTAATGATAGGGAGTGAAGTATTTGAGCGTGTCGATCGCTTCGCTTATATTGGAAGTCTCATCAGCCCTTATAGTCTGGTGTGTGACGAAATCTCAGCACGGATACAGAAGGCTCGATTAGCTTTTACCAACTTGCGTCATTTATGGCGTAGGCGAGATATCCGTCTATCAACCAAAGGACGTGTTTACTGCGCAGCAGTTCGTTCCTTCCTACTTCATGGCAGTGAAACATGGCCGGTAAGAGTAGAGGATATTCGTAGGTCACTAGTATTTGATCATAGGTGTCTTCGAAATATTGCTCGTATATCCTGGGACCATCGAGTAAGTAATGCAGTTGTTAGGAAACGGGTACTAGGTAAGGATGGCAAATCAATTGATGAATTAGTGAAACTTCATCAGTTGAGATGGCTGGGACATGTGTTAAGTATGCCCAACCACCGACTGCCTCGATGTGCGATGTTTTGTTGTATAGGAGTAGATTGGAAGAAAGCTAGGGGCGGTCAGACCAAAACATGGCACAAGTCCATGAAGTCACTGACAAGTGGACTGAGTCATGTTGATAGGTGTAGACTACCTAGTTGGGGACCGCGAGATGATAGCAACCGATGGTTAGAGACCCTGAATGACATGGCTCAAAATCGTTTGCAGTGGTGAGTGCAGGTGCATTCGCTCTTTGTGTTCTCCCAAATTCTAATCTTCTGAATTCTTCATGTCCCTTTCTTTTTTCTCTTTTCAAATTTATTTCACTGGATTATACTCCTTGAATAACATCTTGAAACCCTAATTTTTCTGATTACAGCTTATAATTTTACTACATCTAGCACTTCGGGATTTGAATCAACCACTGCATCTCTGTGCTAATGTGGTATGGCAACTCGAACTGATGTACGTACGTAGTAAGTTCTACGTTGTTACTGACTGACTGACTGAATAATAATACTGGGGGAAATGGAAAGGTACAATCCGAAGAAATCTTTCAGTTAAGGAAGAAACAACCGATTTTCACGAAGAAAGTAAAAGAAGGTTACAGCAGGATCGCCACTAGCTTCCATTTTGAGTCATATCTGATAACGTCTCTAGCCACTGTGTAGCACCATCTCTAGGACCCCAGCCAGGGAGTCGTAAAGGACAGACAGAATCCAGCCCTTTGCAGCTTTCTTTCATACCACGACACCATGTCATATACTGACCACCTCTCCGCTCCTTCCAACCAGTTCCACAGTCGGCAAACAATGCACGACGTAGAATTCTCTGGGACGACATTCGTAGAACATGTCCAAGCCACCGAAGTCGGTGTTTCAAGATGCATTATCATCTATGGGTCTGAACACACGATGCCGAACCTCTGCATTACTAACATGGTGTTGCCACTGAGTATCAGCAATCCTTCAGAGACAACAATGATCGAACACAGAGAGTCGTCTAACGTCCTCAACTCGGAGAGGCCAGGTTTCACAAGCATAGAGCAAAACTGCTCTCACTAACGCGTTGTAGATCCGACCTTTTACAGCCAAACTAATATCACGAAGGCGCCAAAGATGGCTCAGATTGGCATAAGCCGCTCTGGCTTTCACTATACGTGCATTGATCTCATCACTCACACCCCCACCAGCACTTATGCAGCCACCTAGATACATGGACTTCTCGACTACTTCTATCTGTTCACCATCCAGAGCGAGTACAGGATTAAAATCCTGCCAGTCTTGTACAAGTACTTTGCACTTTGAAGGTGCAAAGCACATACTGTACCTACGGACACTGACTGCCGACTGATTAAGTGCGGATTGCATGCCTTGGGCATTATCGCACAGTAAGACAGCATCATCCGCATACTCAAGGTCGAGAAGTCTTTCTCCGGGCAACAGATCCACACTGCCATTACTTACATCCATCAGAGCTGTTTCCAGAATGTCATCGATGGCAAAGTTGGAGAGGAATGGTGAGATTGTGCAACCCTGCCTAACCCCACTGCTTGAATAGAACAATTGAGAGAGGTGATGGCATGCCTTTACTCTGCCTGAAGCGTTTGTATATGGGGCCTTTAGGATGTTATTAAACTTCTCAGGCACACCCATCTTCAATAGACAATCCCAGAGAACAGTCCAGTCCAACAAATCGAAGGCAGCACTGATGTCAAGAAACACTACGATTGTTGGCCTTTGAAAAGTATGGCGGTGTTCTAACATTTGGGGGAGGGTGAAGATATGATAAATGCATCCTCGACCGGAACGAATACCAGCCTGCTCCTCGAGAGTCAATCTTTCTCGAGTTTTGAACAACCTACGAAGTATGACGGAAGTCAAAAGAAACCCAGTGCTTATAAGCGGGACGTTTCGCGGACCCACAACTGACTGTACACGCCATTCTCATGGCGTCATGGAGTTGCAGCCAATGCTCATCTTTCCTTTTCGGTGGAATGGTGGCTAGCCTAGAAGCTAGCTCGGTTCGGTACTTACTTGCGACAGAAGTTGCAACCAGCTTGCTAACATCAATCCCTTGGTGGCAGTCACTCCGTTGGCCACTGAAAAGTAAGGTAAGATTGGCGCAGACCAAGGCATGATCAGAGTCCAGATAGGTACTCCAAAAGGAGCGGCAGTCTTGTAAACAACCACGCCAGCAGTAGCTGATCGCGATGTGATCAATCTGAGTCCAGGATTGAGATGCAGAGGGAGGACGTCAGGTGGCACATCGGCGATGACTGTGCCGGAAGTTAGTGCTGGCAAGAAACAGGTTGTGGTCTGTGCACAATTGCGGTAGACGGTCACCGATATCTGTCCTGCGACCAGCAAGTCCCCATCGGCCGCCTAAACGACTCTCTTCTGCGCCTAGACGCCTGACCTCAGCATTCAAGTCTACGGTAAGTACTACAATATCTGTCGAACACACTTTCTGGAGAAGAACAGATAACTGGTGGTAGAATTCATCCTTGATTGCATCCGGGCTGCAATCTGTCGGGGGATAGGCGGAGATGACGAAAAGACATCGTTTCTAGAGCCGATTTATTCTCACTTTGATGGAACTTTGTAATCTAACAGCACATAACCGACTGTTAATAGGGATCCAACCGATTAGTGCTGCCTCAGCTCTAGCGCTTAGTGCAACACCAACGCCGGCAACACCAGACGAAAATGTCACATGGTTCCCGGATAAATGCACGTAAAACAAGCCTTTCGAAGCGATAGATGGAGAGCGAATTTGTAGTACTTCACCAGTCTTGAATACAGGTCTCGGATTTGTTCTTTATGGATAATATTTCTCACGTTTAGTTTTTCTTACAGTGGTTGATTTCATTTCGACTCATCTCATGTTGCTATTTTCCTTTCTCCTTGCGTTGATGTGAGTTGTGAAAACCTGGACTGACACATTTGTATAATGCTCTATGCGGATAACTGATTGATAGTGTTGATATATTTACTAAATTCTATTCCACAAATGTCTGGTTCTGGGAAAAAAAAATTGAATTAACTCATTCAGCGGGTCCTTTCAGTGTAAGGGGTAATGATAATACCCGATTAATGGAAATGAATTATGTTTTGAAATATGGATACTTGAGCCAAATCAATGGACGGAAAAATAACAGATTTCATTAATTAACAAAACATACCAACTGAACGGTTACCGCTATGGAATTGTGGTGACTTATCAATGAGATTGGGATGCAAATAATACTTTCCTTGATTAATCATTTGGTTTAATGAATGATAAATGGCAAATTGAATCCCTGTTTGTGGTGCTATAAGAAGAAGAGATGGAACAAGCCCACGGAAAAACCCTTGAGCACCTTCACGAGTTATGATGGAAACAGCTGCATGTGACATGCTCCTAAAAAGTAAGAATACAATATTTGATTAATTGGTCATCAGGATTTCAGTGTATTCTGCAGTAGGAGTAGAATAACTGTTTAGCTTTTAAATGAACTTACTTCAAAATTGTTCAGTGATCTCTGAAAAAGTCGATTACCTGTTGAAATATCGGTCAAGTAATCATAAAAGACATCATTAGAACTCATACTGTGAGCACTTATTTACATGATCTTTCTATACACAGGCAATCTGTACATTATTACGGGGATTATAAAATAGATTCTCAGATAACCAGTACAGGTTATTCAAAGAATATAATCCAGTGAAATAAATTTGAAAAGAGAAAAAAGAAAGGGACATGAAGAATTCAGAAGATTAGAATTTGGGAGAACACAAAGAGCGAATGCACCTGCACTCACCACTGCAAACGATTTTGAGCCATGTCATTCAGGGTCTCTAACCATCGGTTGCTATCATCTCGCGGTCCCCAACTAGGTAGTCTACACCTATCAACATGACTCAGTCCACTTGTCAGTGACTTCATGGACTTGTGCCATGTTTTGGTCTGACCGCCCCTAGCTTTCTTCCAATCTACTCCTATACAACAAAACATCGCACATCGAGGCAGTCGGTGGTTGGGCATACTTAACACATGTCCCAGCCATCTCAACTGATGAAGTTTCACTAATTCATCAATTGATTTGCCATCCTTACCTAGTACCCGTTTCCTAACAACTGCATTACTTACTCGATGGTCCCAGGATATACGAGCAATATTTCGAAGACACCTATGATCAAATACTAGTGACCTACGAATATCCTCTACTCTTACCGGCCATGTTTCACTGCCATGAAGTAGGAAGGAACGAACTGCTGCGCAGTAAACACGTCCTTTGGTTGATAGACGGATATCTCGCCTACGCCATAAATGACGCAAGTTGGTAAAAGCTAATCGAGCCTTCTGTATCCGTGCTGAGATTTCGTCACACACCAGACTATAAGGGCTGATGAGACTTCCAATATAAGCGAAGCGATCGACACGCTCAAATACTTCACTCCCTATCATTAGTTCGGGTGTCAATGCAACCCAATCCTGAAGCAACATTTTGCATTTCGAGAGGGAGAATCACATCCCGAACATGCTTGTATTGTTGCTTATAGTGGTCAGAAGACTCTGTATTTTGTCAGCATCTTCACCAAATAGAACTATGTCATCGGCATATTCTAAGTCAACAAGTGAACCTCTCGGTAAAAGTTCAACCCCTGGAAATCTAGATGAGGAAAGTTTCATCTCTAAAAGCATGTCGATGGCGAAGTTGAACAAGAATGGAGAGAGTGGACAACACTGACGAACATCACTTAAGGTAATCAATTCTGATGGCAGTTCGCCATAAGCTCCCACTCTATCAGTTGTGTTCGAGTAGAGAGAGCTTTTATAAGGTTAATGTACTCCTTTCAGTGACAAACACTGCCATAGAACCTCATGATCAACAGAGTCGAATGCCGCCTTAAGGTCGAGAAATACTACGACTGTGGGGTGTCTGAATGTGTGTCTGTGTTCTATAACCTGACGTAGTGTGAATATCTGGTCTATATACGCAAGTCCAGGTCGGAAACCAGTCTGGTTTTCTCTGGTTTGTTCTTCACGAGCTTTAGTTAGGTGTCGAAGTATTGTATTAAGGATAATTAGTGCGTAGGATAGCTGAGAAACAAGCTAAAAGCAAAAATCTATTTAAACGAATCATATGAGCAATATTGTACCTGAGTGGCATGACGCCTTGGGAAACCGTCAATAAATATAATAGATTAACGACAAATATAGCATATCATTCAATGAATGTTGTTGAGTGACGTTGAGAACTTTAACATCAAATATTCAAAAGTAATTTAAGTGAATCGGACGTGTTGAACGAAGGGTAGTAACCACCGAAAAAATTAAGTATGCTCCTCAGCAGACAACTGTCTAGACTTATCGAGGAAAAGGGTATTAAAAATGAGGTAGTTAGTGAAACTATCAGGGAAAAAGACGGGACTATTATTTACTCACAATCCAGGAGATCAGATCAATGAGCAGTACACTTTAGGGAACAGTTCAACTGACCTAAAGTCACGCTTCAGTTATCCATTATCTTCAAGCAACCTGAAAATGGTGGTCCGGTGTCAAAAGTCAGATTACATGAAATCTTAGTTAGAATCTGGCAACTGGACGCAATCCTATCCAACTGGTCTCGATCGCTGATCGTCCTAGTCTAAAATTCTCTAATGATAATCACAGGGGACGGATTCAGAAAATTTGATTGTTTTTCGTCAGCTTGCATTACAAGTCGCGTAGGTGAGACATCCGTCTTCCAACTAAAGGGCAAGTTTACTGTGCAGCAGTTCGCTTCGTTCTACTGTGAGGGTGTGAAATATGAACATCAAGAATAGAGAATATTCATAGGTTATTGGTATTCGATCATAGGTGTCTTTGAAGCGTTCCCTGCGTATTTTGGGACCATGGAATAAGAAATGTCTGGGTAAGTAAAAGGGTATTAGGTAAGAATGGTAAATCGATTGATGAAATAGTAAATCCTCATTAACTGAGGTGTTTGAGACATGTGTTACGAAAGCCCAACTCCCGCCAACCTTGACAGGCGATGTTGTGGTGTAGTATCAGAAGTAGTTTGGAAGAGCTTGGAACGAACACGCCGAAACATTGCATCAGTCCACGAAGGCATTTACAGCTGGGCTGGGCTATGTTAATGGGTGTAAACTACATAGTTGGGGTCTGCGTGATTATTGTTACCAATGGCTAGAGGCTTTGAATGACTGCTCAAAATCATATGCAATGGCGCAGGTGCATTCATTCTACGTCTTTCCCCAAATTATGAGATCCTAAATAGCTAATCGTTCTGGTTTATGAAACTGGACAAAATCTTAATGCTATAACCTGATCAATATAGTGTCCAAAGAATTAGTTTATCAAACGACACAATTCTCTCAGAGAAAAATGCTGAATAAACTAAGATTTCTAGATGTTTTCAGCAATAATCTTATGTTTGAAAGTGTTTCTCCTAGCCGAGAATCAAAATGTTTCAAAGATGGTTTGTATCTATGGCACGCTGCGTCCTTATAAAGTGAAAATGGGTCAATGAACAATTCCACTAAGTCCTATGTTGTTAAAGACTGCTGAACAGAAATCCAAACGACTTACTTATACCTGCTGCCACTTACGGAGGAGCATAAGTTGCCCACCACCACTCTCCATCCAACTCTGTCCTGGGCAATCTTTTCCAGTTCTTTCCACTCCCTATTCACCCTTTTCATGTCTGATTCCAATTCCAGTCGTAGTGTGTTCTCCGGCATTCCACTTTCACGTTTACCTTGAGGATTTCAAGTTAGGGCTTGCCTCGTGATGCAGTTTGGTGATTTCCGTAATGTATGTCCTATCAACTCCAACTGTCTTTTCCTGATTTCCTCTTCAGACGGAACCTGGTTTGTTCTCTCTCACAGTAGGTTGTTGCTGATGGTTTTCGGTCAACGGATATTCAGTATCTTACGTAGACAATTGTTCATAAATACTTGTACCGTTTTGATGATGTTTGTAGTAGTTCTCCAAGTTTCAGCTCCGTACAGTAGAACTGTCTTGACGTTCGTATTGAAGATTCTCACTTTCATATTGGTTGACAGTTGTTTTGAGTTCCATATGTTCTTCAATTGTAGGAATGCTGTCCTTGCTTTGCCGATCCTCGCCTTTACGTCTGCATCTGAACCTCTACGTGAACGTTTCCAACTCTTCCAGAGTTTCTCCATCAAGTGTGATTGGGTTAGTGTTCTGCGTGTTGTATTTGAGGATCTTGCTTTTTCATTTGTGTATGTTAAGGCCTACTGATGCAGAGGTTTCTGCTACACTGGTTGTCTTCATCTGCATTTGTTGGTGTGTATGAGATAGGAAAGCTATGTCATTTGCGAGGTCCAAACCGTCTAGTTGCATGCAAGTTGTCCATTGTATTCCGTGTTACCTCTCCGATGTCGAGGTTTTCATAATTCAGTCGACTACGAAAAGAAAGAGGAAGGGTGAGAGTAAGCAGCCTTGTCTGACTTTAGTCCTTACTTGGATTGTATTTGACAGCTGTCCTCAATGAACGACTCTGCAATGTAGTTCGTCGTATGTTGACGATCTTCTCAAGTAAATCATAGTGTCGAGGGGACATTTATCATTTGGAATATGAGGAACGCTTCTCAACTCATTTATCCATTGAAAAATCAAATGTAAATATATGGACGTAGAAGTCTAGATATTTCTGAGATCAAAACGATTTGACCTGCACTCTAAACTTACATTCCACAGTTTATAAATCGCTGAAGGCAACTTCAAAAATACACATATATTACTAGACAAGTCAACTGGGAGCTAACGATAGTACTATTGAAGAAGCTTACCCGTAAGTTTTCGGCTCACCTTGAGCAATGAAACGTGTGCGCAGGACGTCTAATGGTTGAGTAACTACTGCTGCTAAAGAGCCCGCTCCACATCCGCACAGAAAGTTACCAATAGGTTTGTAGGTAATAGGTAAGCCAAATATTTTGTTATCTGAAATAAGGAGACTGTTGACTTCACGCAGCCACGAAAGAATCACTTCAAAAGTAAGAAACTGAACACTAGTGAACGTAACCGACTGCATTTGAGCAGGAACATGACCTTTCCAAAAAGCAATAGCACCCTCTTCCTTGCTTATGCACCTGACGGCTTGCATAAGACCTTGATACTTGCTCGTTCTAGAAACTTCGATTGGTTCCATTTGTAGCTACTCAGAATTTAGAAAAAAACTAAGATGCCTACCTGAAAACGTATTTTAATTACGTCCAAAGGTTGTACAACTGCCCTAGCAACAAAACCACTGACAGAACCAGCAAGAAGGTACTCATTTTTCGATAAACCAGTTTCTCTATCCTGTACTTGCATTATCACTGAGATTTTTATATACTTGACATTTTCAACTGAGTTTACGGTGACAACTGCGTTGATTGTTCAGCAACGCGTGACTCCTTGCAACCAAAAGTAGAAAAAAAACACTAGATACTGATAAAACATGTAAGGAAAGTTATGAATCTGTAGGCGCACTAACCCTGGAATGGATCACCAGATTATATAATGTGTAACTTCAGTGATTTAGGTTACAACAATCAGTCAGTCAGATACAACATAGGACCAGGCACATATATGCATCGGTCCAAGTTACCATAACTCACTAGCACAACAAGATGAACACCGAATTCATAGCAGTTAATTCAGTGGTGGTAATATTTTAAAGAAATTTTTTGTATAAGGATATAACGCATAAGAAAGAATTAGTTCGTAGAAATAAAGGAATTCAGCAATTTTAACCTCATGGTTTAAGGGAAGACAAAGAATGTATAAACCTACGCCACTGTCATCGATTTTGAACCATGTTACCAAGAGTCTCCAACTATTGGTTACGATATTTAAATGGACCCCAACTAAATAGTCTGCATCTACCAACATGGATAAGATTAGAAGTTAGTGACTGTATGGGCTGATACCACGTTTTGGTTTGGCCGCCCCTAACTTTCTTCCAATCATCCCCAACACAAGTCAGCATTGCGCGTCGTGATAATCAGTGTTCAGGCATACGTGACACGTGCCTTAATCATCCCAGTCGATGAAGATTTACAACCTCATCAACTGATTTACCATCATTCCATAATACCATGTGTCTAACCTTACTGTTACTTACCCGGACAGAGTATGAGCACTTGCAAATACTGTCATCATAACTTTAAAGCGCAGAACGATGAATTAGCGTTTAAGTACAAATTACCTACGTTGCTAGCGATAAAATCAACAAGACGTTTGAGTGGAATAGAACTTATTAAATATATCAACACTATCAATCAGTTATCCGCATAGAGCATTATACAAATGTGCCAGTCCAGGTTTTCACAACTCACATCAACGCAAGGAGAAAGGAAAATAGCAACATGAGATGAGTCGAAATGAAATCAACCACTGTAAGAAAAACTAAACGTGAGAAATATTATCCATAAAGAACAAATCGGATACGAGGATGAAAAGTGAGAAACAACACTAAACTGAATATATAAAAGAATACACTGATCAAACATAACTGTCGCACTGCAACAATTCATGGGTCAAATCTTTATGCAATTCGGAATGTCTACATTTCCCTAGAATTTTCTACAGCGGCTTCCCTGAAACGGGCGAAATTTTTCCCGCAATTGGGAGGTTGGGTCGAAACACAAATTGGGATTATTTCAAGAATTTCACGTGCCTAACAGGCTAATTTTACTTTGTTTTAAGTCAATGTTTCGGCTTATCATATACCTGTCCAATCACGAAGCTTTACCGCCACGTGAGTCTCCTTGTACCCTGACGTATCTAAACGAAGAACCGTGAAAGTGAGATAATGAAGAAAACTCAATTATGATTTACGACAGGCATATGTTGATTGCGTTTAGTTGTCAGACGTTTCGATAAATCTGTACAATTTGCCCGAATATAGTATTTCATTTTCATAAAATAACAATTACGTCAAAAATGGTTCAAATGATTCAAATGGTTCAAATGGTTGTGGACGGAATAGAAGAAGCTTTCGCTTAACAGGCTTCCGTGTCTAGTAGCAGGGGATCATGAATAACTACAGGCAGGAACCTAGGTATGTTAACAATAAAAGAGGAAAAGAAATTGGTAAATCATTGTGTGATGCAGTCCTTGGTCCTTAAGAATAGGTCAAGTTGCCTCTTGAAGGACTCCTGAGAAGTCGCTTGGACTAGCTCGGCCGGTAGCGAGTTCCAGCTTTTGACAACTCTTAAGGAGTAGAAGTTGTGTCTACATTCCGTCTTGCTATGTTGTGTTTCCAGTTTCTGGGTGTTACCCCTTAGGTTATTATTCGAACTAAGCTTAAGTAGGTGTTTAAGAGGATGTCCAGAAGTGTTAAGAATACTATAAGCCATTAATAAATCACCTCTAAGACGCCTATATTCTAATGGGTAAAGGTCTAGTGAACGGAGGCGTTCTTCGTAAGGCTTAGATTTGAGTCCTCGAACTGATTTCGTGGCTCGCCGTTGGATACGCTCCAAAGTGACCTTGTCCTTTTGGAGTGAGGGGGGAGTACTATGTTTCCGTACTCTAAATGGGGACGGATGAAACTATTGAAGATTGTGTGGAAAGTTCGTCCGTCAAACTGGCCAAAAATGCTCCTCAACGTTACCAGTGCAAGGTTTGCTCGGAAGGCATTTTTGTCACAGTTAGCGTAAGACTTTAAATCGTAGGGCACCAAGACTCCTAAATCTTTTTCGACTTGGGATACTACTAGAGAGGAGTTTCCTAAGTTGTAACTGTAGTTTGTGACATGTCGCAGATGGACTACTTTACACTTTGAAGTGTTAAAGGTAAGTCCGTTATCGTCTGCCCAACTTTGAAGTCGAGTCAGATCTTCCTGAAGTGCTTGTGTATCGTCTTGGTTGCGTATCTCTCTCCAAAGTTTCACGTCGTCGGCAAAAAGTAATAAGTCTGACGTTACCTGTTGAGGAAGATCATTTATGTAGATCAAGAAGAGAAGAGGCCCTAGTACTGAGCCCTGGGGGACCCCACTAGGACATTCCATAGCCTGAGATAAAGTGAAATTAACCCTAACCTTAGAGTGTCGATTTTTTAGGTATGAAGTAAGCCAATCGATTAGGGGTGGTTTGATACCTAGTCGTTTGAGCTTATTGATAAGACACAAGTGGTTAACCTTATCAAAAGCTTTTGAGAAATCAAGGTAAATGACATCGACCTTTCCCTTGCAATCGAGGATGCTTGTCCATCTGTCCACCGCAGTCAGCAGGTTGGTTATACAAGAGTAACCCTTCCTGAAACCATGCTGTTGGGGTGAGAAGAAATTTAAGGACAGTAGATAGTCATTTAAACCGTCGCATATCAGGGACTCCATGAGTTTTGAAGGTAATGACAGAAGAGCCAAATGGTTGTGGACGGAATAGAAGAAGCTTTCGCTTAACAGGCTTCCGTGCCTAGTAGCAGGGGATCATGAATAACTACAGGCAAGAACCTAGGTATATTACCGATAAAAGAGGAAAAAGGGAATTGGTAAATCATAGTATGATGATATCCTTAGACCTTAAGAATAGATCAAGTCGCCTCTTAAAGGACTCCTGGGAAGTCGCTTGGACTAGCTCGGCCGGCAGCGAATTCCGGTAGTTGACAACTCTTAAGAAGTCGAAGTTGTGTCTACAATCCGTTTTTCTTTATTGTGTCTCCAATTTCTGGGTGTTATCCCTTAGGTTGGTATTGGGACTAAGCTTAAGTAGGTGTTAAAGATGTCCAGAAGTGTTAAGGATACTGTAAGCCATTAATAAATCACCTCTAAGACGCCTATACTCTAATGTGTAGAGGTTCAGTGATTGGAGGCGCTCTTCATGAGGTTTAAATTTGAGTCCCCGAACTGACTTCGTGGCTCACCGTTGGATACACTCCAGAGTGTCTTTATTCTTTTGGAGTGAGGGGGAAAATATTGGGGACGGACAAAACTAGTGAAGATTATATGGAAAGTTCGTCCGTCAAACTGGCCAAAAATATGCTTCAATGTTACCAGTGCAAGGTTTGCTAGAAAGGCATTTTTGTTCTTTATATGCTTGTATTGTCTCCACGCTCCGTTGTTATCAGTTTATTTGTATTCTGCCCAACAGTGTTTTTTGCAGCTTAGCAGGCGAATAGTTTGGTTCCTGATGATTTTAGGTTGCTTGTAGCTTTTGGGGACCTTTCGAAGAACTGGCTGCTTTGTTGCACATAAGATTGTGTGCAGCAAGAAGTCCCAATGAACATCCACATCGAGTTGAGGGTGAACATCGCTATCCACCTGTTGTAGATAGTCCTATAGAGCTGAAACATTCAACCGTTTGAAATTCCAGCGCATGTTGTTGGTGGGATATCTTAGCTCGGTTTTGCTGACAAAACTGAAAGCTAAACGGCGTGATCGCTTTTCCCCAGATGAGCCAGACTGAGAGGTTGTCAACTAGGAATTCTTCGTTTGTAAATACACAGTCTAATCGCGACGGTGTCTGATTGTGTATCCAAAGAGTTGCCGACCTCACATTTTCGTATAATCCCAAATCCTCAATGAGGTTGAAGAACCGAGTTTCGGTTGAGTTTTCACCTCCAATAAACATATGTTTCGCGAAATTGACTCGATGGAGATTGAAGTCCCCTAGAATCAGAATATGAGTGAAACCGAGACGCGTAAAGCGGTATAGTCTTTCCAGCATACGACTTTCATACTCGATGTCGGCAATGGGCTTCCTATATATGACTCCAACTAGGCACCTCGAAGTAGCAGAGAATCTTACAGAGCACCATATGGATTCCTCGAGATTGTTAAACTCGAGGTTATGAACTTGATGTACCTCCAAGCAAGATCGTATGCATACGGCTACTTCACCCTTAACTCCTGTTTTTCTGTCGTTGCGAAACAAAGACATCCCAGACATTGCTAACTCCTGGTCCGAGAACTGAGAGGATATCCAAGATTCAGATATCCCTATCAGGTGAGCATTAGCAGCATTGCTAAGCTCACTCAGCTCATCCATTTTGTTTGGTAGACTCGCAGCGTTCATGTATAAGCAGTTTATGCTTTCGATTTGAACCTCGTGAGGTTCTTCCTGTTTGTCTGTGTGAGCTTTACGTGAATGGAAAGGTGGCCTACCAATATAATGTTTGCCGAGTTGGTAGGCCCTGTGCTTCACACGTTTTTTATAATCAAGACAGTCCACAAGTGGAACGATCGGCTCCGACTTGCCTTTGTGCTTGGTACTGGCTTCATATGGTCCGTCAGGGTGCTTGTGGATTCCAGTTGGCAACCGACGTCTGTTGGTACGAAATTCTTCCAGAGTTGCAGCCGCCATATGGGAGGATGGAAAAGTTATCCT